CTCAGCCTCCTCTTCTCCAGACTTAACAGCCCCAGCTCCCTCAGGCCCTTTGGGAACAGAGGAAAATAAGGTAAATGTACTGTTTATGTTTATAGTCAGTAAAAGCAAGTATATAACCACTTTGTGCCTGGGGTTGTTTTGTTGTTTTGTTTTTTGTTTTTTGTTTTAATTAATTTCTAAAATTTGGGTTGTTTTGCTTGATTTGGCTGGTATTTTTGGCCTTCACATCAAGCCCTTGGAGCTTACCTAATGTCACCATCTGTAGAGAGCGGAGGATGAAGGATGCTTGTGAGGAGAGAGCCCCAGAGGGTAAGATTAAGGAGGAAGTTTAAACTGGGGTTTTGTTGCTGTCTTTTGAGTGAACGGTAAGGTTCAGCCCCTGAAGTTAAGTGTACATACTCAGCTCCTAATGACAGCGTACTGCAAGCATGTTATTCAACCTGTTCAAAGCACTGGATACTTCGAATTACCTGGAAAGTGAAAATATGAATTTTTGGTGTTGTACTTGTAGAATTATAACCAGTTTGGCCAAGTTCATGTGAATGCTTCAGATTTTATTATAATCTCAACTTTACTTCACATGGTTATTCCTCCTGTTCCCCTCCTTCCTATTTTATCCAAGCACTGTTGATTCCATGTATTTATTCAGATTGAAATGGAATAGATATAAGATTGATAGAGCAGCAGACTTTCTAGCCTAGATATTTATAAACAGTTTTCTGAACTTGTGGGTTTCCACCTTTGGCGTGCCAGTTTGTACCCATTCTGTGTATATGAATGTGTATACAGTGGCTAAAGTTGCACACGGTGAGTAAGCATCACTGTGAGACAGGGAAGGATGGGAAAGGTGGCATTTTGCCCTTCAGTCCCCTTCACAGAATCCCTGTCTCATGTCTTGGTTTGGACCAGAAGCTCGGCTTTGGTCTTAGACTATTAATTCCTTAGTTTTGTTGTCTCTGTACAGATTTTCTGAGAGAGCAGTCTTGTGAGTTTCAGTGATTTTTGAGTTTCCTGGTTTGACTTTGTTTGCCTAATGTCACCCAACTAGAACTCTCCCAGTGGTATGGCTGTATGAAACATAGCTCTGAGTGGTTTACAAAGCAACAGTTTTGTTCACTTAGGCAAAATAATTATTTTATCATCAAAGAGAAGAATTTTAACATTTTCAGGATATTGGCAGAATAGAACATTTTGACACGTGTCTTCAGAATGTTTCTGTAACATCCAGTGTGACTTTGTCTCTTAAACAAAAAACCCCAGGAGGGCATGTTTTTTAATGCTAACAGCTAGGGATTATGTATTAATTTTTAAATCAACCTTCTTAAGGCATTTAGAAAGCAGTTATTTTGGTTGCTGTGATTGAGGTCAGAAGCTCACTGATGGCACTTGCGGTGCTTGAGTTTGTATACACTCTTCTGAATTTCCACTGCAGAGTTCCAGATGTTTCTGCTGTCATGGGAGCTGCATCGGGCAATTTCGGCTTTTGGGCATTTGTCTGATGCCATTTCCTCACAGCCTCAGTTTTGATGTAAACTTCACCGCTGGGAATAAAGATCCATTCAATATGTATAAAACTTTCATATGTAATATCCTGCCTTTCTCCTTGCTGTCTTCGGAAACGGAATGGAGGCTCCAGGTTCTAATGAAGAATCTCTCGCCTTCATGTTTTATTAAGGCTCTTGTGCGTTGATGCTTGGGGTGAGTTGAGGTGAAGGTGCGCTGTTTAATCGTAAGCCTCGTTGCCTTAGAAGCATCGGGATACCTGCCATTTTTGCAGTGACTTTTGTCTTGCTTATCTTGCTGCTGTGTTTCACCCTTCTGGAAACGTGTGACAGCCAAACCATTCCTCTTTAAGACTTTGTGACCAACACTTTAGAGACACCAGGTAAAAAAGATGTAGTGCCACAATTTAGGGTACTCTGATGTGGATTTGACGTTTTGGATTATGTCTTAATTTTCTAAAATAGACTTTTTAATTGATCTGTGTATAAGCAGCAGTTTATTATATTCTTGAAACAAAAGCCAAAGGACGCCTTAATACCACCACCATTATTCAGATGTTATAAGGTTATTTCTGCATCTGAAGTCAATGTGTATACATCAGAAGCTGATGAGACATCTTATATGTGTGACTGAATGCAGTTTACATTAATATTTGCTTCAAGGCTAAATTTGCAAAGTGCTCTTACTAGATGCCTTGACTTATTAGATCGTACTACCAAATTTTTGCTAAATTACGATGATGCTACAGTTTAGATCTTGTGCTAGAGATCTTTTGTACTGGTCAAGTCTACATGGAAATTATTTTTGTCAAGTATTCTTTAGATTAAACTGGGGTCTTTTGTAGAGTTTTGTGTTTGGTGTTCCCCCCACCCATGTAGCTGAATCAGTGAAAAGACACAGGTACAGCTGTATAAATGTAGCATTGTAATAGTTACCCTGCTGCTATTTAAAAATCATTTAATAGCGGAGCATCTCACTGTCATTGTCTGTTTATACTTAAGACTTCTCTGAAGTCAAGAAATGTTCCTCTCCAGCTTTAGAAAAATGGTTTTCAGCAACGTTAAGTGGGAAAATGTTACGAGGCTACACTGTGAGGGTTGGGAACTGAACTTTTGACTCTGGATCCCTGTCCAAAGGAGGCGAACCTGTTTTAAAGCCCACAGAACAGTATGAGCTGGTGCTACTGAGGTATTCTGTCCGTCTCCGAGGTTTCATGCTTCAGTGAGAGCCAGAAGCGGAGAGTTGTGACTTTTAAATACGTTCTCTCAGAAGAACATCTCCTGATGGTCTTTGCGTGGGCTGCATGTCATTTACGAACAACCTTATAACGTTACGAACAACGGCATAGTGCTGCTTTTGTTCAAGGAGGAAATACCTCAAGGTCTAGCAGGTTAATAGCACATATTTCAAAAGTCTTGTGAGTTGAGGTGTCCTCCAAAACCGGAATATGGTCTGACAGATCACACCGCCATGGTCAGTGAATTACAGTATGACGTTTTCTGAAGCGTGGACCCTTAGGAACAGGTTTTCTTCAAAAATGTAAATGGTATCAGTAGTTAATAAAAGACTACTTCTGTGTGTATGAGGTTAAATCCCCTATAATTATGATTCTTACTGTAGTATATTAATGATTTGAATGCTTGCAAAGCAGTTTCCTTTTTTTATTCCCAAAGTGGTCCCTCAGTTGCTGTTGGGAAGTCTAGTTGCTTCATTTCCCGTGTTTGCTGTGTAACCTACTGATGTTGCAAGTGTCTGCTTCATGGTCTCTTTCCTCCCTCTTCCCCCTCCCCCAAAACACGCAGGAAGTAATTTCAGTACTGCGAAGGATCTCACAGAAGAAATAAGATCATTAACATCTGAGAAGGAGGGGCTGGAAGGACTTCTCAATGAACTGTTGGTTCTGAGTACCAGAAACGTCCGAAAATTAGAGAGAATTAAAGATGATTACACCAGACTGAAACAAGAACTTGAACAAGGAGAGGCTGCCTTTGGTAAGTAGTTCTCGGGCTGTTACAGCTTTTGCTCAGTCCTGAGCATCTACAAGTCTGCTGGGTTTGATGAACTATCCTGCATTTCACAAGAAATACCAATTTGTTGGAGGAAAGTCTGGCCAGGACCTAGATAAGCAATATACTGGATATACTGTCAGCTGTTTCCTCTGGAGGTGGGGGAGGTTGAGAGGGAGAAGGGATATCTCAGCAATATATAGCTTTTGGAGATCTGTCTTAGCCCAGCTCTCAGTAACTTTATTTTCTAAACCTGTTTTTGTAATAATGATGGTGATCCTGTGCATTTGTTCACATACAGAGAAGCACAGGTAGTCTTTTATGTGGAAGCAGTAGATGCAGTTGGCTGTGACATTAGAACCGTGTTTAGTATATATAACTACATTTTGTTATATACATATATATAACAAATACAATTTGTTATATGCATAACATATTTGGTGATGAGTCTGAATGTATGAGGTGCAAGGGATGCCTGGTTCTGAAGGCAAAAGTTCTCTTCATAAATTTATGTCTGAGGAGAGGGGGCAGAACAGCTTGGTAAACACAGCTCACCTGTAACCAGAAGCAGTGTGCTTGGGTTGTAGCATCACAGTGGAACTGGGGAAGTTATGTCCAGTTGCTGGGAAAGCTGCTGACAACGAAATAGCAAAGTCTAGGAATGACTTGGCTTGTCCTCTTGTCTGCTGTACCCTCCCCTGAACTTAAGCAGGTCAAGTGGCCTTGCTGCTTGATTAAATGAAAAAGCTGAATAATGTTTAATTGACTGCAAATGTGCAGTTACTATAGTTACTTCTAAGTATAAATCTGAGAGCATTTTTAAAGCCCTAGGGGTTTGATATGTTATTTCCTTTTCAGGATCTTATGAACAGTAGGTTGGTTGAGGAAATTACCTCTGTTTTAAAAGTTATATGAAGTTTCTTTGTAGGCAAGTGGATAGGCAAGAGCTATTTTATGAAAAAAGTTTTGTCGGAAATGGAATACGTCTAAGACAGTATTTTAAAGATGTGTAGAGGAATATGTGTATGTACACTGACACTCTACTAGGTAAGAACTTTCTTAGAATCTGTGTGGTTAAAAATTTAAAAAATGATTCCTCTAAGTAGTGCGTTTTTCTCAGCCATGTGATTCAAACCCCCATCAGGCAATACTTCCTTACTGCTTGGATTTGCAAGTGAGTGGAAGGAGGTTCTGACCTTCCGAGCTATCCATTTTGTTGCTCCTTTGTCTCTAGGACAATTAAACTTCCTATAATACACAGTCACTTCTCATTTGTGTTTTTCTTCAGCGGGGTTTTAAACAAAACCTGTGTAAAACTGTTGCTGAAGCAGCACAACTGGTTGCAGTTCATAGATTCTTTTTTCCCCTTTGAATTTATGGAGCCATAATGAGGTGTCTTCTTGGCCTGACCCCTCATGTCCTACAATTTGTGACAATAAATGGCAAAGCACTGAGTGTTTACTATGTGGGTTGTTCTTTTAATTTGTTGTGATTCTGTAGGCGTAAAGAGAAATTCATCCTTGTGTAAAATAAGACTCTTACCAAGCACATACTAGTCAGAGATATATACATTGAAGTCTGAGATCTTCCCTTTTCCTTGTCCATGCATGTAATCCACGCATATAATTGTCCCCCTTGCATGTAATCTACACTGTTTTCTCCTTTAACTATTGGAAACTCACTTAGGTTTGAGAACACTAGAAAGATTTTGATGCCAACGTGTTTAGTTGAATAGAAGCCTTCTCATACTCCCTGGAAAACACTAAACAGATCGCACCTTAAAGATGGCATCCACTTGTACAAACCAACTGGTATTTTGTGCAGTACTTTCATGTTTGGAGAGTGAAGTATAAATGATTGGAATACAATTTTGTTACCATTTGGCTTTGCTGTCATTCAAAAGAAGTGGAGATCATTGCATTTGGCGGTTGGACTTGATGATCTTAGAGGTCTTTTCCAACCTTAATGATTCTGTGATACTATGAAAGCGCGATTTGCGTTGGGGTAGTCAAGCTGATTTACTGCACGGCCTCAGGCTTTGTGGTTCATTTCAGGCAATAAAATCTGTGTTGCTGCTGAGATGGGTGGTTTTGCCTTTTCCTCCAGTTCCTGCCCCATCCCATACACAGCTCGCTCCTGAGTAGAACCCTGATGTGAGCAGGGCGTTAGCATGCCCATGGGACGCACCGGTGCGTGGGGCGAGTGCCAACATTGGCATAAGTGACACGGCAGGGGTGGGGAATATGCTGACCCGCTTCTGTTGGTGACACCGTGATGCTGGGAGAGCATGGTCTGGCAGGAAAATGGCTCCTGAAACCCTTCCACTGCCTGAGCTTGGTAGCGCAGCACGGGCTCGGCTGCTCTGTGCTGGGCGGTAAATCGGTGTGAGTGGTTGGACCCGTTGCCTGGTGTGGCCCATTCCTGGTTAGTTTGGCTTCTCCCTCTGTAACTGTGAGCCAGAGAGAGAAATCCTCTCTCCCTCTAACTCTGCTAACTGAGGATGTTACTGTCCTCCAGCTTTTTTTACTGTGTGTCTGCCTGGAGTTCGTTAGGGAGCCCTTCAGCCCAAATTAGCCATGCCAGCTTAAACAGCAAGAATGATCCGGGCTGGGCTGGCTGGTCCGTGTCCTGGCGTGCCGTAGGGACGTACCTGGGATTCCTCCTTGCAGCACGGTTGTGCTACGCTTTGGCTCGACTCTTTATGAAATAGGCGTCCATCCATAAACTAAACGTAGGTTACTGAAAATAAAGTAGCGAAAGAGGTCCCTTAGTCTGCTTGTCTTTGCAGGTTTATGCTAGTTTAAATAAGTTAGTGGGTTTATGTGTTTTTCAGTGTAGAAAAGAGATGCTTCATTTTTCACCAGGAGAGATAATTGTATTTACTGGAGCTGTTGTCACCTCTCATTTTTGCTTCCATATTATTTCCAGGGAATAATCTTCTGCTTTCTCTGTGTCAGGAGCCCTCCTTATTTTTTTAATATAGCAACTTTAAACCTTCTGCACAGGTATTCCTACACGTGGCTATTTCTATGTCATCTGGCAGTTGAACTGTGATCTTCTGTGCCTGTGAGCTTCCTGAAAACTTATTTTGAAATGTTTTGGGTTTTTTTTTTCCCCCCAAAGATAATAGAACTTTGCCTGGAAAACATTAAACAAAAAAATTGAAATGCTAGAATATGTGTGTAGGTTTGTCTTGTGTAGAAATTGGTCACCTATTTTTTTACTTCATTAATAATTGTTGATTTCTCACAGTAATGCAGAGATATAAAGAAGGAGACGTCAAGGGAAGAGACTTAATCACACAATAATCAGAGCTGGAATTTTAAATAGGACACATCATTAGCATGTTAATGAATTTTCTCACTTTGTGCCAGCTGCCCAAGTATAAAGGATATTGCAGATGTAGTGCAAAAATCAGGCTTGGCTTACTGCGCTGAGAGCTGTCAGTGCTCCCTGTAAAGGAGATTTGACAAAAACCCTTTCATATTTTTAGAGATGCTCAAAAATATGTTTTTCCCATTGGATAAGAGAAGCATTGACAAGTAATGCTATTTATTAGCATTTCAGGATGAATAGTACTAATTTGTCCTTTACACAGTAACTTTCTTCTGAGGGCATCAGAACGCTTCTGTAAAAATGGTCGACTGTTACTGCCGTTTTACAGATAGGCAAGAAAGGGGCACAGAGGTCATGGAATTTTACCTGAAACGGTGGTGAAAACAACTTTCATGACAGATGTTCTAGCATCAATCATGATTGGGTTAGTCACTCGCAATAAACAGATTTGAAACCAAGTGATATTTTATGTGAGCTTTGCATTCTTCTAGCCTGCAGGTATTTCTGTAGCCTAAGACAGAATGGTTCTGGGAAAATCGCTGAAGGTCTTGTGCTTTACTGCTGAGCAGACCTGCCTTATAAAATCAGCAGGTTCTGTGAAAGCAGGGAAGAGAACTGCTTTTCAGCCCAAACCAGCCAAACCCGTGTGTTCCAGACAAGTGAAGCTTAATTATTTGCCTGTCTGCCAAACTACTGGATTATGTTTATAAATCCTGGCTTGGGCTGATTGGCATCTGTAACCCAGGGCTGGAAATGAACCCTACCCTGTTGTCTTGGTTTCCTCATCACCAGTACTGATGGGCAGGTTCGTCTGCCTCGTTTGCTCAGTTCCTTTTCTGGCTGTGCTTGTCCATTCGCTGCCCCTATTACACTTTTGGGAAAGCATCTCCTGGTAAATAACGTATGTACGTGCAAAACTAGGGGGGACTGTACTTTGCAATCTAATTGCTAGATTGTGCTTGCCAAGATATCTTAAGTAGAATTTCTATGCTGAATTAATTTCTAGAGGAAGTGTAAAATAAAGGCTATCGTGCACATCAGAATAGCTTTTTAACCTTTTTTTATTTTTTAAACTATTGTTTGGAGGCTGATACTTTAGTCTTTACTGCTCAACTCTCATTGACATAATTTGAGTTTTATTGCCTTAGAAATTACTTGTCGAAGTCCTAAAACTCTTACCAGCCTGCTTGTAGAGTGAAGCTTTCTGGAATTGCACAGATATCCATATATATATCTATCTATCTCTAGAGATATACATATATATATATACACACACAGGTGAGATCGATAGCCCAGCTCAAGTGCATCTGCCTGCTCTCAGCGTGGGCAAGAAACAGGAGGAGCTGGAAGCCGTTGTACAGCAGGACAGCTATGACTTGGTCGCCATCACAGAAACATGGTGGGATGACTCTCATGACTGGAGTGCTGCGATGGATGGCTATAAGCTCTTCAGAAGGGA